TGAGCTCTTATCTGTATCAGTGCACATGCTCCGGTCTAGCCAGAACTGAAAGGCAGTGTACATGATAGGGGTGGGGTGAGGTGAGGAAGCCTCAAAGAATCAGAGGAATACGGTGTGTTTCATGGTGCTTTACGGCACCCTGTTTGACTCATCCCTTCCTTGTGACCCATCTGTGAAGGGATGTCCCATAGTCTGCAGATGGGTTTAGGGTCTTCCACCCACCTCATTTTCAATAATATGTTTTGGTTGTTGTTGTTTTTTATCTTCTGGTGCCTGTTTCCTGATCCCATTGACACCTCATGATTGCACAGTCTGGTGTGCTTCTTCCATGTGGGCTTGTTGCTTCTCTGCTAGATGGCCGCTAGTTTCACTTTAAGCCTTTAAGACCTCAAATGCTATATCTTTTGATAGCTAGGCACCATCAGTTTTCTTCACCACATTAGCTGTGCACCCATTTTGTCTTCAGCGATCATATCAGGAGGCTGAACATCACAGAATGTTAGAACGAAGTATTCTTGTGTTGAGGGAGGGCTTGAGCAGAGCCCCAAGCCTGTCCACTTCCTCAGTGTATTGCCATGTAAATAGGTCAATATCTCTATTTTTATAAATGAATATATTTACATAAGTGCACACCTATGTTTATTCCTCTACCCATAGCTTTGCTTCCTAGCTCTTTCCTCTGTTTCCTTTACCCTCCTCCTGTCCCACCATCATGCTTATTTCTTCTGCCTCTTAGTAATTCCTCTCAGCTAGATTGCTGTTGCTCCCACACCACCAGGATCTCTACGTCCTCCTCGTTGTTGCTTTCAGTTCCTTAGTTGTTCCCCTGTCTATGGTGTTGTTTGCTCACCACTCCCTCCCCCCGCCTCATCCTTCCCCCATGTTCATCTGGAACCATTAGTTTCATTGCTTGCTTTTTGGGCTTACTTCCCATGCTTATCTAATACAGGTAGGAAAAACAACAATAACAGAGACAAAACAAAAAGAAAACAAAAGACTGAATAAAAAGAGAGAGGGGAAAAGAACTAGAAAAGAAATAAAAAAGCATACCTAATTCCAGGTCTGTCCACGGACCTTTATGACTATCTCCCTGCCAGTCCTAGGGGATTCTGGGAATTGCACCTCCCAGCCTGAAGTCTGTTTTTAGGGCTCCTCAGGGGGTTTACGGCTTTGCTTTCCTCCCATTGCTGATCTCTTATATTCCCTTCTTTGTTCGCCCCATTCTGATGGTGGTCAGAAGAGACTCAATCCCTGCCATGTGTCCCCAATATTGTCCTCTGTCACGGTATGTTCTAGGGAGGGGAATATCATGTTTTGAGCTATTGTCAGCCCTACGATTCTCTCTGTTCCTTAGCAGCTCCATGCAGGGACGTTGTCCTCCGGGCTTGGTGTGCCAACATGGGGTCTAGTCCCTCGCTCTCTTTTTCCTTCTTGGTTTGCTTCCATGTGGGCATGGCAGGCTGGCCCCTCATCCTAACATGTAGGTTTAGTGTTGTCCTGTGCAGCACATACTTTGGGTGTGTGTGTGTGTGTCAGTTTCATGCCATCATTCTTAATGTCTGCAGAGTACTCTTGTTGGCTTCTCCCATGACTGTTTAATAATTCTTTTATTGGATAATACACTGTATAGATGATGCTTTGTGAATACTTTGATGCTGCATCTGTGGATATTTGCCTGGTTATTAACATAAATTCCTAGAAGGGAATTTCTTTTTGAACCATTATGTGAATTATTAATACATATAAACTCTACAGAAAGACCAATGAGCTCTGTAGAAAAGTCTTATCATTTATATTGCTGTATGCATTTATGCATGACGTTTCTCATACAGCCAGTCTTTTGATTTTTAAAAATTCTTTCTAATTGAATATGTAGATGAATCTGTCTCATTGCCTTGATTTTCTTTGCATTGTTTCCAGTAAATGTATCAAAGGATTTAGTTGTCATTTTAATTTCTTGGGGATGTTGCTAAAATGCAGATAATTGCTAAAAACTAAAGAGGAGGTGTCCCTGACATTGAAAGGTGTTGACCAGTCAGGTGGAGCAGATAAGTGAAATGAAATCAGAGTTTAGTGCTGACAAGTGAAAACCTGCTTGTCGATGACAGAATTCTTCGGGGCTAAAGATACAGGGCATTTGAGGGAAAGGAAGTGAATTGAAGACATAGGTCCTTTAGTTCCAAGGCGTAGACACTTTTCGCCTTAGGGACTTAATGTTCACCTGAATTATTTGGCAGGAGAGAGACTTAAAAGATGATTCTAGGGGGGCTGGGGAGGGAGGGATAAAAGAGGAGACGATACCAAGGACTGAAATAGAAAGTAAACGTTTAGAAAATGATGATGGCAACCTATGTACAAAAATGCTTTATAATTGATGTATGGATTGCTACAGGAGCTTTAAGAGCCCCCAATACAATGATCTTAAAAAAAAAAAAAAGATTATTCCAGGGAGAGTGAAGGAAAAAAAAGAAATAAGCACCAGTTCTTAACCACATATTAGCTAAAAAAATATTTGGCAATACCTTGTGGTAGTGAGAAGGTGATGAAACAGGATCATTCACTTACTGTTGGTGCACAAGTAACTTGGTAGAGCCTCTCTGGAGAAGAATTCGCCATCTCCTGTCAAGCTGAGGAGATAGAACATTTTTAACAAGGCATTTATCATACGGAACCACCACCTGTCTGTCAGTTTGTCGTACTGTAGGGGCTTGTTGTGGCCGTGATGCTGGGTCACCCACAGTGAACAGGTGTCAGCAGCGCTTCCAGACAAGGAACCGACTGTGAGGAATAGGCTGTCTACTCAGAGGAATTAGCCACTGAGAAACGTATGGCCAGCAGCAAACATCGCCAGTTACCGAAAACTTAATCAACCGAAGCAGCACCTTGTCAAAGAGAGGGCCAAAAGGTAATGCCCCCAGATCAGAAGGTCCTCAAATATGACTGTGAGGGAATTGCCTTTTCAGAGGAGAGTTAACCCTAATGCCACAGATGGAGAACTTCCTGCCGGAGTCAAGCCTGTGACATACTAATTTGCTGACAGGACATGACTCAACATGAGAAGAAACAGCAGCAAATATCATTTAGTAATTGGTACTTGAAATGAATAATTGATGAATGATGGAAGATTTGGAAGTCATTTTAAATGAAACGAAAGATCAATATTCTAGGTATTGGTGAGCTGAAATGTATTGGTGTTGGCCATTGTGAATCAGAAAATCACATCTATGGTTTATAATGCCAGGAATGGCACTATCAGGAGAATGGCATTGCGGTCATTATCAAAAAAGACATATCAAGATCTATCTTGAAATACAGTGCTGTCAGTGACATAATTATATCTATCAGCTTTCAAAGAAATCCAATCAATCCAATTATTATTCAGATTTTTGCACCAACCACTAAAGCTAGCGGTGAAGAAACTGAAGAATCATACCAACACCTACTGTCTGAAATGGATCAAACATGCAATCAAGATGCATTGATAATTATTGGTGATTGGAATGCAAAAGTTGGAAACAAAGAGGAAGGAAGGGTCATTGGAAAACATGGTCTTCCACGATAGAAACAAAGCTGATGGTGCATGAATGGAATTTTTCAAGACCAACGGCATCTTCATTGCCAATGCCTTTTTTCACCAACACAAAAGGTGACTGTACACATGGACTTCTCCTGATGGAAGGCACAGTAGGAAGACACAGTGGAGAAGTCAATATCAGCAGCTAACACCAGGCCGGGGGCTGACTGTGGAACAGACCACCCATGCCTCATACGTAAGTTCAGGTTGAAGTTGAAGAAGACAAGTCCACAAGAGCCAAACTATGAGCTGACCTCCATATGGCCAAATGTTGATATTTACTAGATCTGAGTGGTGGATCCATCAGGATATACTTTCATATATTTTTGGATGTTGACATATTTAAGCACAATTAAAAATAACACACTGGCAGTTGTATGAGTGGTGACTCCCTATAGATATTTCTTTTTTCTTCTCTTTCAAGACATAATAAAACCCAGTTGTACATAACACACAGGACACAGAAGACTAGTTAGCCAGTTTGACCAACTCCAAGAGTCAGCGAAGCTATCCCAGAATCGAAAAACAAGTTACCCAATTGGACCTCAAAGAGGGCTTCTCTCCTGTGACTAGAGGAAGAGGCTTGCAGTGTGCTGGGCAGGCCTCCCCGCGGAATGGGGCACAGCCACAGTCAAGTTTGAAGCAAAACCTGGGCAGCCGCCCAGGACACTGCTGGTTAGAATTAGCTGAGCAGTGAGAGATGGCCACGTGGTCCTACCTGCAGCATGCTGGCCCGGAGTGTGCACCCTTTCATTCCGTTCCACCCACACAGGGACCGAGGTCTGACCTTATTATTCTGGCTACAATTGCCCTTTGTCCAGATGTAAAGTGTTATCCTAACACAGCATGCCAGAGTTTGTTCCGTTTTACATGGTGCCGTGGTATCTGTTCCTAATATAAAATGGCATGAACCCATTAACAAAAATACGATTAAAGCTTGTTTGATGAAGGGATTATGAAGACTCAAAGTCTTATTCCAGGAGGTTTTACCTTGACCCAATTCCACTCTGTCCAACAATTAATAATAAACTTGGGCATGTGATCTGATCATGATTTCTCTTCAGATGAAAATTGGAGAAACCCACAGCGATATTGAATTGCGTGGGTTGTTGCCCAACACAGAGTACACCGTCACTGTTTATGCCATGTTTGGAGAGGAGGCCAGTGATCCAGTTACAGGACAAGAAACCACATGTGAGTAGTCCTGTCATGCAGGCGGCATGGTGTAATCACACCCAGTTATGTTAAGTGTTGGGATTCCTAATAGGAAGTTCTCATTTAAGTTGAAACCCCTGAAGAGCTAATTATAATTTGAGCCTATGCCTATCTTATTTAAGGGAAGGATGTATGAACACTAGAATGGAACTTTAACTTCCTCTAGATAATTTCACCACTGCCTTTGTCTAAATCCAATTACTAAATCAGAAGACAGGGACAGCTCAAGCTTTGGGTCAGAGCAATCAGATTGAAATCCATATTTCAACTCCGCTGTATTTCAGTGGGGTGGTCCCAGGCCATTTAGGCAAATTTTCTGAGTCTGCAAAGGGAAGGGCAGTACTCTTACACCACGTGGCTGATGGGAGATTAAGTATGGTTGTCTATGTGAAAGCACTTGGTATACAACAACTCACAATTTCCCACATTTTATATTCATGTGTCTAATCTGACACCAATATTGTTATAATTAGATTTGTTTTGAATTGAGTAATATATTGGTTGGTAAGTTTGGGATAAAGCTCAGGAATTCATAATACTTCAATGCAATATGTAGATTCATCTGTTTTTGTCCCACAAAATATGATTTATTGCCCTTTGCTGACAATGAATCCATCTGGAATGAATTCATGAAAAGAACTGGCCATCATGCCTCCTGGCCGTGGCGGGCGGTTGTCATCTTTGATCTGGAAGCGTTTTGCTCTCTGGCGCTGCAAACACAAGTTGAAGTGTGTGTGTGTGTGTGTGTGTGTGTGTTCCAAGGTGTGTGCAAAAGACAGAGAAATAGAGAATAAGAGAAATGAAAATGACCATACACTTGACCTCACAGACACTGCGATCAGTTGCCTGTGTCACATTCTAACTGCTTTTTCGCTGTTACTTGGTGACCTTGGTCAAGCTACCAAATCGCTAAGCTTCAATTTCCTCACCTACGAGAGGAAGTCAAGCAATATTGCTACTGGGTTTCCAGTAGAACACACACACACAGTTTCTTCCAAATGCAAGGCGTTGAAGCATGCCTCTGTGAAAAGTGATGACTCCAGAGAAGTTCTCTCAGGAATGCACATATCTCAGTCTTGATAAGGAGCCTTCAATAAAGGCCCAATCGGAGCAGTGGTTCCACAGGGGATCTGCTGGGACAGAGATCTTCAGGGCAAAGAGGTCAGCTCAGGAGTGATGGTGACAGTTGGGTTTTTTGGTTTTTTTTTGTATTCCTGGGGCTACCCAATTTTATATAAATTATACACTTCCTTGAAGGACACAGGGAAATGATGGGGGCTGATTAGGAAGACATTTTAAGGGAATTGAAGACTGCAGGGATGAGGAAAATGCCAGGAAAGCAGGGCACCTGCTGGTTCTTCAACTTAGCAAGGGCCGTCCTGCAGCAATTTCATTGAGAAACCTTACCCCACCCAGCCCCCATCTTGCACTTCAGACTTCCTTCTGGTCCCCAAATTCAAGGGATATTTACAAGTAATGCCATTCAAGTCCCTTGAAGATGTCCAAGCTGCCGTTTTGATGCAATCTAAATCAAAGATGGTAGAATTCTTTGGAGAAGGGTACAAGAGAAACGTATAGACCTAGAGGAGGGGATGTCAGGAAGCAGTAGTTGCTCATTTGGATACTTTTACTTACTGAAGATTTCTGTGATTTCCTAGTAATTTTTTTTAGATATAATGGTCATTGTAATTCTAACGTCGAAGTGTCATCCATGCAAAGATTGGTGAGATAACAACTGTTAATTTGCCCAACTCCTGGAAAGCCCCTAGTTAATATGAACAATTGTTTTTATAAGACTGTAAAAACACACGATACTCTCAAGGATTATTGATAACTTTCAATCTGTTGATCAGAAGGGATTCTTCAAAGATGTTTGCCAAAGGCTATCAAATTGCTAGTTAGGGATCTGAGACAGGCTAGCCTGAAACAGTTTCTTTGTGTTCCCAGGAGTGCATTAATACTCCTCAGTTGTTTTAGGGTTATGAATTCATTAGGCTATTTTAGGACAATTCACTGATTATCGTAGGGTTTTAAACTATTACCTGGGTCCTTGTTTCAGTAGTTTAGAAGTTAATATGGTTGTGTCTTGTCTTTCGTACATGTGCTATTTCAATTTCTAATTTGTTCTATTTCCTTTACTGCTAAGTGCCTTTAACACCACCAAGAAACCTGAGGATCTCCAATGTCGGCTCAAATAGTGCTCGGTTAAGTTGGGACCCCATGTCAAGGAAGGTCAGCGGTTACCGGATTGTATATAACAATGCTGATGGGACAGAAATCAACGAGGTAAGCAGTGGCTGATGGAATCAAACTTAGGAGCTTCTTAGCAGAGAAAGGTGTGGAGTTGGCCTCCCTAAAGATAAGCATTCTGGGAAGCGATATGGATCGGTTCTACCCTTTGCTGTAGGGTTGCCCTGAGTCGGAAAGGACTCAAAGGCAGGGGGTTTGATTTTTAACAAACAAATCAAACTCACTACCATCAGTCGATTTTGACTCATTGCCACCACGTAGGACAGGGAAGACCTGCCTCTGTGGGTTTATCTGTAAATCTTGATCAGCATTGAGAGTTTCTCCTATGGGTTTGAACTTCTCACCATGTGGTTAGCAGCTCAACGTGTAACTCACCATGCCACTGGTATTCCTGTTGCTTTGGTAGATTTGGTTAATTATATTTTGCTGCACATTTATTCATCCTAAGACTTAGTTGGTTAAATTAACAAAAATCATTGATTTCTTATATTTCTGTGGGTCAGCTATTGAGGAGAGACTTGGATGAATTTTCAATTCTGGGTTGGCCGGAATTTTAAACCTTTAAACTTCTTAGAGGTTTCTTTATTTGTATGCCTGGTGCCTGCCCTGGGGAGACTGGGGCATGTGGGCACTGAGATGATGCTCTGTATGTCTTAAAAGGTTCTTCACATGATCTCTCCAGAATGACAGCTTCAGGGCAGCTGGACTTTTTACATGCTGCTCTAGAAGGCCCAGGCATGTCCAAGTAGAATGAGCGGAGTGGACAGAAGCTACATGGTCTTCTGTGTTCCAGCTCCGGAAGTCACGAGATAACACCTCTACCAACTCCAGGAGGAACCCAGATCCAGTCTCTTGTGGGAGTCTTGTTAGTCACGTTACTCAAGGCGTCTGTGGGCTGAGATGTATACATAGATGAGACCATTTATGGGCAATGCAATCTGTCACAGAAGAGTGGAGGTGGGGAGAGTACGTATCTTTGTAGAAGTAATAAAATAGAAAGGGTACCATTTTCCTGGTTTATCCCTCCATATTTAGGTGAACTGATATCTGAAGGACTTTTGTTAGATGAGCTGGAATTTAAAATGAAGAGTGCAAGTTTTGATCAAGAAAACCTTTCAGATAATGCTTATCATGAAGCCCATAAAGCACTTTGCACAGTGCCCAATATGTTTTAGAAATTCTTTCCTTGGAGATAAGGTTTACAGGATAAATAGCCAAGTTATTTTCACTTGCTCCTTATCTTGGTCCAAGAAGCTATGATAAAGAGGGAGATGTGTTGGATTATATCATCTTTCTGACCAAATATAGCAATTAGTTTCATATGCAGAGGTAAAGCCTTTCCTTCAACTAAATATTTTACGGAATGAATTTTTACATTGGGAATTGGGCTGCTAACCCCAAGACCAGGAGTTTGAAACTACCAGCTGATCTGCAGAAGAAAGATGAGGCTTTCTGCTCCCACAAACAGCCACAGACCCGGAAACTCCCAGGGGGCCGTCCTGTCCCTTCCTCTATAGTTGCTATGAGGCAGCATCCACCCAATGGCAGTGGGTTTGGTTTTAAGACATTTTGCTTTTTACTGAGTTTGTGTATATTTAAATTTTTTCCTGTTTGTCACAGATTTGAAATTGAAAAATGAGGTCAAGACCATCCTAGGGGTGGGGAAAGTCCCCAAATTTAAATCTGTTTTATAGAGACCCCCTTATTAAATCTTAACAGAGCAAAGATAAGGCAAAGAGGAGTCATACAAATGAAAGAGACCATAGCATGAAGCCCTAATGGTGTCCAAAGGATTTATAGCCAAATGGCTAATTATAGAACATAGACTAAAACGTTTCATCACAAGGTTCCGATTGGTGGCAGATCAAGCAGTCACCAACATAGGCGGGACTACAGACTCGGGAAAGGAGTGTGATTGGGATATCTACACTACTGCAGCTGAGAGAAGCGAAGGGATTGGTTCTGCGGTCCTCCGACCAGCTTGCTTGGTGTTTGACTCATGACCAAGGGCTGGCAAGGGGGCGTCCTAGTCATCCATTTTCAACGACACTCTGGCTGAGGGGCAAAGCTTTTTACCTGGCCAGGTAAAGGTCAGAACGAACTCTATGGTGGTTGAGTTTACGTCGAGATTCAAAATGGACTTGGAGGCCAAGTGCTTAGAATTTAAGCTTATGCTAAGCATGAAGACCTTATGCTATAAGGTCTAACTTAATCCCAATTTCAGTAACTTGGGACCCGTGAGGGAAGGTCTTTGGGCTTCAGGTTCTTAATTTGTGATGTAGCTGTGATAAGAACCTGCCTTACAGAGCTGGAAGTTGGTTGCTGGAGGAGATGATGGATATAAAAATCCATGGCATCTTCTGGGTGCTATTATAATTCCCCCAAATGGGTAGCAATATGCAAATACAGTTTGGGAGATTTCCCCTTGACTTCATATCTTCATAGGGATTTGTTTTTTTCTACGAGTTAAAGAATGAAGCCATACCGGTATCGGCGTTTCAGAGCTTGATGCTTAAGTCTGGAAGATTTATGAGTCAATCCTGGGCATGCTAACTTTCTTCTGAGCAAGTCCCCAGTGCGTTCACAGCCTCACGTTTCCACCTTTTCCAGTTGGGGATAATCATGAGCTGCCTGGAGGGTTGTGGTGAGGATGAATGGACTGGATGAATGTGTGGAGAGCCCACAGGCAGTGGTACAGATGCTAGAGTAAACACCAAGTGGGAAGAATTACTGATAGCGCTATCAGAGCCTGATTCAGAAGATGATGATGCAATTTTGAGTGAATATTGTTATGTAACCCTCACTCCAAAACGTAGTAGTTTAAAATAGCAACCCAAGTTGAAGCACCTTGGGCATGTGCAGCATGGACAGCTTGTCTCTGTCCTTCATGGTGTCAACTGAGGTGACTGGTCTTTATTTGGAGCTAAGCTTTGCTTGAAGTGCGGTGATGACTCTATGTCGGATACCTCATTAGAGGCTGGAAAGAGTAGGGTTGGCTGGATCTCTCCTTTGTAGCGTGGCTCAGAGTTCCAGAAGGCTGCGAACAGCAGCTCCTCGGTTCTCCAGGATTGACACTGTCTTTTGGGCCTGAGGTGGGTTCCTGAGAGATGCAGGTGGAGCCCTGCAGTGGCCCTTGTTTTAGAAGAGCCCAGTCTTATCTCCTTTAAAATGGTATTTTGCGGCCTCCACCTTCATTTCCATTTACTTATTCTACCCTTTTAAGACAGAATCTCTTGAGTGCCTAATTCGCCATCCAGAGGGGAGTTAGCTAAAAGGTGCCCTTTGCTCTTAAGAAACATCTACTCTGTTCAGGAGACAAATGATAACCAAGTGTGCAAAGAAGTGGTCTAATCTCGAGCTGTGGTTAGATGGAAGGAAGGAAAGAGACAAACAAGGAGCAGAGGTGGAGAATAACAAGAGGAAAGAGAAACCCCGTAAAGATGACGAGGAGGCAGCATCTGACTACACAAGGGGGAATCACCAAATAATAAGAATAAAAAACCCAGCTCACTGCCATCAAGTCATGCGGAGAAGACAGAGTAGAACTGCCCCTGTGAGTTTCCAAGAGTGTAAGTCTTCACGGGAGTAGAAAACCTCATCTTTCTCCCAGGGAGCAGCTAGTGGTTTTGAACTGCTGACCTTGCCCAATATGTACACCTCCAAAGCCCCTTCACCAGGGGGAAGGAGACTTAAAATCCACATTTGTCCAAGGCTGAGCCCTATGAGGCAGAGGTCAAACTTGTCTTCAACCTCGAACCTTCTCTACCAATTCTGACACCACCTGTCCCTCTCACAACACTCGACTTTGCTCCTGGGTTTGATATTTCATTGCAATGGCCACATAGAACCCACAGACAATGCTTGCAATGACGAGGTTTATTAGGGGAGTTAACTGGTTACATTTCAGGATCAGCAATGCTCACGATATGGTGGTTGTCCAGTAGGAACACCTTCTCAGCTGTGCCCACACACACAGTGCGCCCACTGATCCTTGGCCTACCAGCCATGTGTCTCCTTGGCCTCTGCCCAACTCAGGCAAGTGTTACAAAGCTCCTTTGCACTGCCAATAAATGTAGACAGGACACACTACTCCCCTCTAAGCCTCAGCTTGGCGACACGTGGCTCTAGCTCCAATGGCCAGCAAAACTAGCTTTCCTAATTAAGTGCCTGGAGGCTGCCCACTTTGCCAGTGAGCCTCCTGCCTAAAGGCACTCAGCTTCCATGCTCAGGGGACTGGAAAGCCCTCCCGTTGATCCTGTCTTGGATTCTTGGTTCTACTGATGTTTTTTTTTGTTGCTGCAAATCCACCACGTTTCCACTGCTTCTCCAGCATTATACACTCCATCTCCTGGGTCTAAGAGGATCAATACAGGGATCTTGGGTCCAAACGTCACACTCAACTACTACTGGCTCTTGTTTCTCTTTTAAATCCAATGGGTTGACAAAATGAAGGAATCCTCATGTCAGAGTTTCATACACTCTGTTTGCAGGGTCCAACCCAACTGTTTGGTGGGAGTTACAAAGTCTATGGCTAGAAGAGCCATGCCAAATAATGACACTGCACTATAACCGCCGCCGCCACCCTGAGAAAGTAGAATTTTACTATAGTCCTGACAGATGAGAAAGAACTGATTTTCATAAGACCTGGGCCAAGTGGGTCCCAGCTAGAATGAATAGCATGTTCAAAGGCCCTGAGGTGAGAAACACGTGGACCTGACCCAAGGTTAGGACAGCTGTAGCCTAATGTGCTTGTGAAAGTGTGGCAGAGAGATGGGTTAATGCCAAAAGTTGACTGGTTTCATAACTAAAGAGGGGTTCCCCCACCAGTATTTATAGCTTTGCTGCCAGCCAAGTGAGCCATCTCACTGCCATCGAGTTGATTCTGATTCACAGAGACCCTAAAGGACAGGATAGAACTGCCCCTGTGGGTTTCCAAATGGTAACGCTTTACGGGAGTAGGAAGTATTGTCTTTATCTCCCATGCGCAAGCTGTAGATAAGGATACAAATTTCCTCCCCTGTCTGGTGAGTATAAAGCACAGCTTTTATGTCTTCTTGCTTTTTCAGGTTGAAGTCGACCCTGTTACTACATTTCCTCTGAAGGGCTTGACCCCCCTCACAGAGTACACCATTGCCATCTTCTCCATCTATGACGAAGGACAGTCGGAGCCCCTGACTGGCATTTTTACCACCGGTGAGCTTTGCCACATCTCGGAGAGGGTCCTAGGAGCAATGGGACAGAAACCAGAATGAACGCCTCCTTAGTTGTGATTTTGAAAAGGGAGAGCAATGAACCAGTGAGCCATTGTGAGGCTAGTAGCAATGGTGTTGGCTAAGAAAGGGAGAGGGAGCAGACCATCTAAATGGAAAAGGTTTCGGTTCAAACAAATATAGCTTGTTTCCCTAATTCCCTTTATTCTGTCTCTGTAAAATTTTCTCTTACTGCTTTCACTCATATGAATATTTGTATGAAGTTGTACTTCCAAAAGTACTGATATTCAATAGCTGTTGCATGGCAAAATGGCAACTTTATATCATTTAACACATAAAGTATTTTAATGGGTACTACATAGCAACACAATACACGCAAATCTAAATATAAATTAAATATAAACCGAGTGCATCTGTTTTCTCCTCTACATGTACCTTACGCTCCGAGAGACCGTGTAGGGCAGAATAACACTGCTCCCGAGCATTTCTGAGACCATATTTATGGGAGACACTGCCTCATCTGTTTTCTGCAGAGTGACTAGGGGGCTTGAACTGCTGACCTTGCAGTTAGCTGCCCAGCACCTACTGCACAGCACCTCCAGGGCACCTTCTATACCCTCTAAACCAAACCTAACTTACTGCCATCTAGTCAATTCTGACCCATCAAGACCTAGAATGGCTCAATAAATATAAAACCTGTTTGCCTGTGAGTAGCAACCATTACATAGTTTATTTTCTGAATGTATCAGAAGCTAACAGTGCCAGACTGAGGAGATAAAAGGTACTTTGGAGGCAGAGGAGAGAGAAGCTGGATTAAGAAATCATGTCCACAGAAAAAACGCTTAGCACGTTCTGGCCGGAATTCTCAGTCTTGCCAAAAGACTCTGATCATTGAATTCAGATAATGAAAATCAATGACATGACCATCCATGATGGGGGTGATGGGTGTTGTTCCTTTCTGCATCCCGAAATATTACCCATTGCTCTTAGCGACTCTACAGGGCAGAGTAATGCGACTCCATAGGCTGTCCGAAGCCCCCGTCTTTAAGGAAGCCAACTGCCACAGCCTTCTCCTACAGAGAGGTGCTAGTGGGTTTGAACCACTGACCTGTACATCGCAGTCAAGCGCTTAACCACTGCGCGACCACAGAGTAGTGGGAGAGCTGATCAATTGTATTTAGCTCCAGATGGCTGCCATAGGTGCAAAATGTCACTGTTCTTCCCTAGGGGTTCTTAGGAGCGAAGGATTTAAGCATGAAAGGGAATTGGGACTGAAGGGATCCTTCCAGTAAGTCTGGAAATGGCTGGCACCATTTCAAAATCTGTGACGTCCATGGGCTTCCTAATTGTGGCTGTCGGTGAATGCTGGAAGTGGAAGGCGCAGAGGATGGACCAGCACTGCGGTCACCTCTTCCACGTGATTTCCTGAAGGTTGCTGCCTTACTTTCTCATGTTCCTCACGAAGTCCCCTGGCTTGACTTACAGAGGACGTTCCAGCCCAGCAGTACTTGGAAATTGATGAGGTGACAACAGACAGTTTCCGAGTGACCTGGCATCCCCTGTCTGCTGACGAGGGGCAGCACAAGTTGATGTGGATTCCCATCTACGGGGGCAACACCGAAGAGGTGAGCCGTGTGATCCCTGACAGGAAGTGGAGTGGGAACTCAGGCTTCTGCTTTCCAGCTGGTCTTCCCTTTGGGAAGCAGTTGGAGAATCCTGGAACTAATTGATATCTGCATGGTGGAGATTTCATGAGGTCAAATCATATTATTTTTGCAAAATGAAAATGCATTGTTTGAGGGCTCAAGTTAGATATCCTACAAATATAGTTTGTTTTTGTTTTTTAACATTTTATTAGGGGCTCAAACAACTGTTATCCCAATCCATACACACATCAATTGTGTAAAGCGCATTTGTACATCATTTCTCAAAACATTTTCTCTCCACTTAAACCCCCGACATTAGGTCCTCATTTTTCCCCTCCCTCCCTGTTCCCCTCTCCCTCATGAGCCTTTGATAGTTTATAAATGGGTATTTTGTCATATCTTGCCCTGTCCGACGTCTCCCTTCACCCACTTTTTGGTTGTCTGTCCCCCAGGGAGGAGGTCACACACAGTTCCATGTAATCGGTTCCCTCTTTCCTACCCATTCTCCCTTTACCCTCCCTGTTTTGCCACTCACACCACTGGTCCTATAGGGCTCATCCGTCCTGGATTCCCTGTATTTTCAGTTCCTATCTGTACCAGTGTACATCCTCTGGTCTAGCCAGACTTGCAAGGTCGAATTCGAGTCATGGTAGTGGGAGCGGGGAGGAAACATTTGGGAACTAGAGGAAAGTTAGTTTTTAGAGCCTTTACCTTCCATAAATGATACTAAACCTTGAAGACATCACTTTACAAATACTATTCTTTTCTTTTACTGAGGCATTGGGAGGTCTCAGGTTTGACTTTAAACTTGAGCTCATCAGCCTTGAAGTTATTTAGGCTTGGTCATTTCTTCCCTCCTGCCATTCCTTTCTTTTTATGGCATTAGGGAGGAGCCTTGTGCCTGGGACCCACCAGCCACACTGTGGGCAAAGGATGGGCCCCTCTGCCTTGGGAACCCTTAGACAGGTCTGCTCTCTCCTTCAGGGTCGATAGAAGTTGAAATCAGGTCGATGGCCATGGCTTTGGTTTCTGATTTTGGTTCATCGTTCGGGTGGTTAAATGTGTGAAAATAAGGCAAAATGGACGGCCAAAAACCAGAAGCGATTGTGTCTCAGCCTGTCCTCCGCCGAGGTCTGCCCTTCGCAAAGCAGTGGTTCTCTCTCCCTCGTCCTTCCTTGAAGCGCTCGGCTCTTTTCCACGCACCCTCGTGGGGTTCAAATTGTGTTTTAGAAACTTGTCACTCGCTCAAAACCTTTGAGCTTGGGGACCAAGCAGAAGTCTGAGGAGACGAGATCAGGGCGGTAGGGTGGACGGGATAAGGTTTCCCAGTGAAATTCTCTTATGAGAACCCTGCCTACCCTGGAAGAATGAGCTGGTACTGTTTTTTGTTGGTTTTCCTTGCCACAACTTTCTGGGCCTCTTTCTCATCAATGCAGGTTCCCATTTTTCTCAAAACTTCTTCTTTGTAAATTCCCATGATCTTCTGTGTCCTTTGTGGAAGTCTATCATGATGAGCTCTTTGGAGTGCCCCAAAATGTACCCATGTATCCATAAAAGGGAATCCCACTGCCATACTTTTTGACTTGCCTTCGTCTAGAACAAACACTGGCTCTTTCAACCTTTTGTATGTGTTCCATTCAGTGACATTAATGAGACATTTGCCACGCTGGTTGTTCCTCGGTCACAATTAGTCCAGCTGCCCCCCGCCCCTTTTTTATTAACGTTCGTTCTCTCCCGTTATTCAAATAAAGCCAGTTATTATGCAACCACTGTTTTTCAGGTTCTCCTGAAAGAAGACCAAGATTCACATGTTATTGAAGGCCTGGAACCTGGCACAGAATATGAAGTTTCCCTCCTGGCTGTACTGGATGATGGAAGCGAGAGTGAGGTGGTGACTGCTGTTGGCACTACACGTAAGTCACAGTCTGACCAAGTTGGACCGCAGTAGCTCGCACCGCCCATTCTGACATGCTCTTGACCTCATTGTGTCCCCTTGCCATCAGCCTCATCCCTGCCTGAAGAGGCATTGATGCCTCCTTGGCCCCCAGAGACCTTCATATAACTCCATCGCCAATGAAATGGACTTGTTAAGCATCTTAACATCCTAGACTGTTATCACCATGAAGGCAGGGAACATGCCTGTCTTGACCATCATTGTATCTCAGCACTTAGCACCCTACTTGGGTCAAGTGTATAGTAAATATTGTTGAATGTCTGAATGGATTCCACCCACTTCAGCAAGGTGATTATGACTCTCAGGGATCCTATGTCGTGTCTCCAAAAGGCTGTCACCCTTGACTGGAGCAGACCACGTCAACTTCATCCTGTGGAACCGCTGGTGGTCACAAACCACAGACCTCTAGATTAGCAGTCCAACACTTACCTGATGGTGCCTCCAGGCTCCTTGGATGGGTAAAATAATTTGCAATGTGTCCCAAAGTGTCCAGAATTTCACGAGTTGATCTAGGTTCCAAGAGTCTTTTACAAAACCTGCTTGGTGATTCATTCATCTCTTCATTTTGTTTTCATATGAGGTTTTAGGCACGTAATGAATTATCTTTGTTTGGCTTGCCCAGAATCAGATTCTGAAGCAGAAAATTGCCTCCAGAAGGTTTGTTGAAGAGTCTAGTCAGGAGACACACATCTGTCAGGGAGTGAGTGGTAGGCGGAGCGTAGGGGAAGCTGACCCATGACGTGGCTGCGTGTGAGGCTTCAGGTAATCTGACTGGCAGCTCTGGAGCAGGTTTGGACCCATGGTCCTGCCTCCCCCGTCGTTGGAGGTGGACAGTTCCTGATAGAGGCTGTGACCTGGGGTGAGACAATTCCCAGAGTGGGTCACAGCTGTGAGCCCTTGGCTGCCAGTGTTCAGCTCTGAAGAGGGGACTTGGGTGGAAGACCAAATTCCAGGTTCCCTGCCATGCAGTCAGTGCTGACTCAGAGCGACCCCCTGTGGGTTTCCAACACCAGAATGGTTTGCCGGAATAGAAAGCCTGGTCTTTCTCCCAAGGAGCTGCTGGTGGTTTCAGGACACACATCCTTAACACACCCACACAACTCCCCCGGATGCTCAGGGTGGATTGAAGAACTAGAAGATGCACTTCACTGAGCCTGAGCTCATTGTCCTCCTTGGCCCTGTCTTTTTGGGAGCTGTTTTACAACTTCCTCTTTCGTCTGCAAAAAAGAAGTCAGTTGCAGTCCAGTTGTCCCTGGCTCATGGTGGCTTCGAGCGTGTTAGGGCAGAACTGCACTCGATAGGGCTTTTAGAGGACTAAGAGTTTGGAAGTTAATCACCAGGCCTTTCTGCAGAAGTGCCTCTGGGCGGCCTCCACTCTCCCGCCTTTCCACGGGCAGCAAGTGTCGTTAGTATCGTGAGCGACTCCACTTGGTCTGCGGTACTGTTAGTCCCTTCAATTATCGTGCCTTTGCGCCCATTTCAAAATCATTGGGAGGCTTCCCATTTTGGTCATAGTGATTTAAATATTTGAGTGAAGCAGATGTTTTGGGGCGTCCATTTCTTATTCTGGAGAATGCATCTTGCGTCTGCCTTCCTGACAACTCCCACATCTTTCCAACAGGCAAGGTTGTCGTGAGAACCCCGTGTGAGGATCGAGATGGAATGAATACTCTGAAAACTACAAAATGCTACACGCATGCCTGGTGTTCTTATCATTAATGTATGCACATTCTGGAATTTTAAGACATGAACTTTTTCTTTTGGCTTTGTTTCAGTTGACAGTGTCTGGACAGAACCAGCCACGGACGTACCACCGACCTCACCTGTGACTTCAGGTATGGCCACGGAGGAACCCCCACTGCCCCTAAGAAATGCTTGCTTTGAACAACAGTTACATTGTCTCTGTGGTATTTTATGTTAGATTTATGGTATTTATGTTATATTATTGATTAGGAAAAGAGGTGATTCTCTCTTATTTCCCTGGCATCCCAGCTTGAATTTCCCCCCTCTCAGAAGCTTTCCTCCTCTTCCTCAACCCCAGCTACAGTCCTATGTGTCCATCGGTGTCCTAGCCCATTGAGCTCAGTGTTAGTTCTCAGGGGTAGCTTGTCCATCTTTATCTTGGATTCCCTTCGAACCTTTCCAAAGATGTTAGCCTCACAACCCCCCAGGGTCAATGTCCTCCCCGGTGTCTTCTGTACCCGCAGTTGAGAATGGTTCACACCATGGCTTCCTTGCATTTCAGTCGGTAGCAAAGACTCGCCTCGTGTAGTCTTCCTATATCAGTTCCCCCCACCCCCTTAGCCTATCTTTCCCTTTAATAAGCATCCAAGTTCATGTCAGAGTCAACCAGATAAAACAAAAGTCT